CTTTTACTTGAAAAACTCCACATTTCACTTCTGTCACGATGTCAGCACTATCAGAACGCCAACTCGTTTCTTCTATATGCATTGTTGTACATCTTCCTCCTCACCTCGCAGTTTTAAATGACAGCTCTTCTCTTCTGTCAAACGCACAGTAAATTTTTATATTCCAATTTTAGATGTCTTTTGGTTTCCACAATTTCTTCATTGTAATACTTCCTAATTAAACTTAAAATACTAAATTTAATTACCCTACCTCTTTTACAAATTCCTAATACGTTGTTGTCTAAACGTTTGTTTAATCGCACATTTCTTATTGTTATTCTCTTGTCTTTTCCAAACATACGAACATTCATTCATTTAATAAAAGATTTTCATTATTATATTATAACCCAGAGTTCGAGTGGCTGTGTATCCTTCCTTAACTTTATTTTTCCCGGGTTTGCTACCAGCATAGTTCCTCGGATTTTTTTTATAGAAATATACACTTTGTACTTCCACCCTTGCTCCTTCGACTGTTTTTTTGTTCGTCAGTTTTTAGCTACCGTATAGCATATTTTTACTAATCATTGTGAAGCGTCTGAATGGTCCATCACAAAACGGATAGTGCTCTAAGTGCTCTATTAGATGACATAAACATAATTTTGCTATATTCTTTTTTTTATCAAAAATTCTCTTAACATTTATATTAGTGGCAAATTTGTTCACATTATTGTATTTATGAGTACATGTGCTTGAAATAATGTCAGATACAGTTTCTCGAAAACTGTGTATGTGAGTGAAAGTACTTCAAATGACTTCAAATGGAGTTTTTCGACTACTCAAAACTGTTCTGTTTCAAATTTCGAATTTACAGTGGGACTTAAACACAATGTTCGTAAACACGCCCCAATTTTTTCAAAGAAAATTGCCATTTAGCACTAGGTTTTACTGTTCATTAATATTCTAAAAATAATATTCTTAAAATAACATTCTTAAAATAATATTTCCATTCTACTATTAGGTAACATACATTAAGAAAATGTAAAAAATGTACTTTGGGCGACGACAGATGGCAACTGGCAAGGGTATGTGGCAAGTCGGAATACCTAGCCGAGACCAAAGGAAATAGGAAACGAATATGTCTGTGCTGTTTTGTAAAACAACTAGTTACTTTAAATTTTTGAAAGTAGTACTAAATTCACTCTGAGATGACATAAACGCAACATTGCTGTATTTTTTTCAAAAATTACATAATGTATTTTTTTGACTTCTTTTTGCGTTAAAATTTACATAGCGGCAATTTGTTCACATCAATGTATTTATGAGTACATGTGCTTTTAATAATGTCAGATAATTTTTCTCGAAAACTCATCAGTTTTCTGTGAAAATGAGCTCAAAATTCCGCATTTTCAGAAGCGCTGAATAGTATTTTTTTCAAAAATTGCCCCAAATTTTTTTCTTTAAGCTTTTCAAACGGATGGTGCTGATTGCACTGTTTAAAATGACATAAAGTTCATTTTCTGTATTCTTTTGTTTCTTAAAAAATTACGAAAATATATTTTTTTTGAAATATCTCTGATTTGAAAGATCAGCAATTAAACAAATCGTAAATAATTTCACAACAATTCGTGTTTTCAGAGGAACATTTGAGATTTTGTCGGGCCTGTTCCAAGGTTCTAAGACATGGTAAAAATTATTTTATGTTATTTCTTTTCAAAAAAAATTTTTTTTTGATTTGAATTTCGGATTAAGAAAATATCACGAAGTGTTTCACTGATAGCCTGAACTATTTCCATATTTTCTCAATAATATAAAAATAGTATTAATTTGACAACAACAAAAATACGTTTTTGGCTGTAGAGAAGTGCGGGTAATGGGACGGGAGCTATGAAAACTTTCAAATATGTTATTTTATGTTATAGTTATAGTATAACTACTCATATGTCATTTAGATTAGGGGAACTTTTTACCATATTATACGTGGGTGCTCTTAATTTTGAAGGAAAAATCAATCTTAAATTCTATAGTTGTAAGGAGTTGCTTTTACACTTATCGAACATGTATCCTTTAAAGTGAAAATTGGAAATGTAGCCTTTAAAGTGAAGATCACCTCCTTAATAAGTGTATTTCACTCTTCTCTCAATAAATTTAAAGAAAAAAATTGGTTCAATTTTTTAGAAAATTCTGAAAATGTCCCTGAAGGTAAACCAAATTGCAGTTCTTCGAGTCGAGCCACATCGACCGGGGAATATCAATTACGGAAAAAAAACTTTCGAAAAAATCCAGGCGTAAGTGGTATTCACAAACAGATGGACAGACGGACGGACTGACTGACAGTCGAACTGACTGACGCACGGACGTTCTGACGGACGGTCGTTCTGACGGACGGTCGTTCTGACGGACGGTCGTTCTGACGGACGGTCGTTCTGACGGACGGACTGAGTGACGGACGGACGAGGGCGTATTGAAAAAACACTTTTTCGGTCTGAGGTTATTCCAAAACGTGTAAACGCATTACATAACTTTCTCTATACTAGGTATATTACTCCACATACATGTACTTATACTACATACATGTACTTATACGAGGAAGTAAAATGTGTAATTTTTCCAAGGAAAAAATCAAAGTGGATTTTTTTTATTCTTATAAAATAAATATAACACTGGCCCTACAAAAACTTAAAACTTTTTGCGGGTTTTATAAGAAATTCGTGTTTTTCATTTATTTTTTAAATGACAATATTACATTAAAAATTGCGTGAAATTTACTAAAAGTTTCAAAAAATGTTAATGACTTTAATGAAAAAACCAATACTGTAGTATAAGTTTCATTTAAAGAAAAAATCAATCTTCAATATTGTAAGTATAAGAAAACGCCGAAAAAATTAAACGTTTGTAATTTCCAACAATTCACAGTCCAAAGAACTAATGGATGGACGGACGAACGTTTTGTCATAAACCAATTTTTCGGTATCAAGGACTTATAAATCGTGGATTCTGATTACACAACGACTAGTTGACTGCATATTGGAAAAATATTTTCCACTTTTTTTTTGTATTAACGCCTCACAGTACGTTAGTATACACGAAAGTAAACATTAAATTTGTGTTTTTTTAAACAAAAAGGTACATTGATTTCATGATACATTTAAGGTACATTGATTTCATGATATTCAGGGCATTTTGCATTATCCATATAAAAAGTTGAAAACACTTTTTGGAGCCGTTTTTGAGAAAATGACATTTGAGTGTTTCTAACTGCATATTTTGGTCCTGATGTTCACAGAAAAGTGATGACTAAAGACCGGATTCCCTTGTTACTGCATCTTTTTTTGCTAACTTGAAATTGGACGGAACTTCAACAAAAATTTGAATTATGAAACGGGACGTTATTTTAGTAGTTGTTTAATTTTGCAGGAAATTGCACTTTTGGGAGTTTCTTCTTGATGGAATTGCTGCCTGAAAATTACAAATTTTGGGGATTTTACTGGACGAATTTGCAAAATTTATTTTGCACAAAATGCAATTTCTATATAATCAATTTGTTTTAATTTATCTTTTTAAAGATTTCATTTAAGCAACTAGTGGAGCTACAGAATGGTACGTTAGTTTTCTATTTCCTTTGGTCTTGGATAGCTACTGGGTCTTGCCACATACTCTTGCCAGCTGCCATCTGTCACCGCTCAAAGAACATTTTTTTGACATTTTCTTAATTTATCGGTTTCTAATTTTTGAGCGGAAATATTATAAGAATATTGAAGAACAGAAAATGTCTCGTGCTAAATGGCAATTAACTTTCAAAAATTTGACGCCGTTCTTTAAAAAAAAGTCTTTTGAGCACTGTTGTAAATTCGAAATTTGAAGTTCTTTTTCACAGACATTTTTTGAGTTTTTGAACAATTGAATTTGAAGTATTTTAACGCACAAATACAATAGTGTTTACAAATTTCTGGATATGTGCAAATCAACGGCGTGAGAGACTTAAAAAAAGTTACATTTGTGTAAGTTTTGAGAAAAAAAAATACACGGAAATGAACTTCACTCTCACTTAAAGAGTGAAATTAGCACTATCCGTTTGCAATGCTTGAAGAAAAAAATTTGGAGCAGTTTTTGAGAAAATGGCGTTTGAGCTTTTCTGAAAATGCGGAATTTTGGCATAGTTTTCACATATTGCAGGCAATATTGCGCGAAAACTACTAAAATTTGCAAAAATATGTACCTGACATTAATGAAAGAATTGACAATGGAGAACAAATTTGATTTTAAGTAAAAATCTGTATCTTTAATTTAGTAGTTGTAGGAGGACACCAAAAAAATGCATACTTTTTAAATTTTCGAAAATTCGAAGTTAACCGTGAAAATGGGACCTATGCCACTTTTATAAGTGTATGTTCCACTATTTTTACAAGAAATTTAAAGAAAAAAATTGGAGCAGTTTTTTAGAAAATTTTGAAAATGACCCGAATCCCCAAATTTTGAAGAATGTTTTTCAAAATCTCAAAGTTTTGACTAGAGTCAGTTGGACTTCTTTCTTCAATTTGGAAAAAAATCCTATGCGTGGATTAGGCGCTAGTTCAGACACCAGATGGGCGGACGGACGTTTAAAATTAAACACTTTTCCCTATCTGGGGATCCCAACTCGTACATTTCCGTTGAAATCTCGAAATCGATTTTCTGCAGCATTACTTTCCCCATACTAAGTAAATATGTACTCCGTATGTACTTACGTGTACTGGAAAGTAAAAATGACAAAACCAGCATTCTTGTGGTCTATGAAACCCGAGTGTCGTTTAATATGTATCAATTTTGTTGCCCTATGAACAGAGCGTCTATACCTTTCGTGATGTCTATTTTCTAAATACAGTTTCTGAGTTATTACCACGGCTCTTGGTTTCGGCCGCTCAACAAACGCTGTTCGCAGATCACGTCCGTTTTGTCAGTCTTCACCGAACCTACCAACACGAGATGGCATGTGCGAGTCACTTTTGACCTTACGTCCGGGCGCGACACAGCGAGAAGATACAATGCGTTTCAAATTCATCGAATTTCTGGGAACAGTTGTCTTCCGAGGGGCAAGTGAGAATGAAGTTTCCCCCTTAGTTTTTTTACCGCTTTTAGCCGTGTGAACACGTACGTCAGAGTGAGGCTCGGGACATTGACAAGTATAAATATAGAACGAAATTTTTACTGTCTGAAATTTTTGTATGAATTTTTTTCTGTCTGCGACTTGTAGGGTAGTGGCAGTGTGCCATGGCACCACCAACAAAAAGGAAGGAAAATGATTTTTTTCACCAAAACTGTGTGTATAAAATATGATTTACCAAAATATTTTTCTTTGTAGTAATTTATTTGATCCAGTGCTTAGTCATTCGATGGTCTTTCAATACTTTCTTCAACGAGAACGCGAAAGGATGTAGGTATTGTAATGGCTTAAAGGCCTTCGGCCTAGCCACATAGGATCAAGTAAGCTAATTTTGTCTGTAATAACTACCTATTAAATAAATACTTTCTTCAAACGCACAGGGCGGAATGCTATGTCAGCCACCTCCTGAAACTCTGAGCCATCTACGAAGTGGATCCGTCTCTGCCCATTTGATCAATACTCAGTGGGATTAGGCAACAGAGAGGGCACACAAAGTTACAGGATGAAATAAAGTTAGGCATTTAAAAAATTGTTATATTTGGATCGTTTATGTCACAAAAGTAATATTAACAATCGAATTATCTCCCAGGAAGACTGGCTAAACACACTATCTATAAATTGAATTTAGTCGTCTGTTTTTAGATTCTGCAAATCTATTACTAATTCTTTATAATGAACTGAGTTTCGTTCTCTAATAAACTCAGTTTCTAATGAAAACATACAAAGTGCATTCAATCTCTCTTCCGACATGGTCTTCCTTAAAAATGTCTATAATCTTTTCAAAGTGGAGAAAGCTCTCTCGGATTCTTTTATATAGCACATTCAGTTCAGATTTCATTTTGCTAGCACATGAACGGAGAGTTCTTTGAAAGGCGATTTGTAGGGGGAAATTTTCTTGATATTATTGGAACAGTTTACAATCAGAGAGAGAACGCAAGGTTAAAAGCCCCGTAAAATTAAGATGGCCATTTACCCCTTTGAAATTTCCGTACAAAGGAACGATTGGCATTTCATTCAGATTGTATTATTTTCATATCAGGCCGAGGTGGTTCACTTCTCTTCATGCACAGCCTTGTATCATAACCAAGATTGACTATTTTCAGGCATTTTACTGAATTGGAAACCATTCTTAATCTCAACGCACAACACGAACTGGACGCAAAGCTCGAAACACAGAGCACTCACTTAGTTTGTCTACGGATCGGAAAGATGATGCCAATCATACCGATTGCACACTGCTGCACTACTACTGCACTGAATGCTTGTGAAGGGGGATATCAGTAAAACACAACACCAGCAGATAGCACTGGCCTGGACGTAAATCAAGCGAAAAGAATATTGTAAGTTTAAAAATCAATCGATAGCGCCGGGCAATGAGGTTTCTACCTCCCCTATCAGGCTGCTGGGCGGCGGCCGTCACAAGCATAGAGGAGAGATACAATATAGAGTATATCTCTACTCTATGGTCACAAGACGCCATTTGCCGAACCTACGTTGCCAATTGAGCACTCAGTCGGCCATTTTTATGTCAGTACGTTCCGTAACAACTCTGCGTTTAGGACAGAGAGCCGTGTCCGCAGCCAATGAAAACCGTTCTATGGAACAAGCGGGAGTATGAGACCTAAGATGCGTTCGATTCGAAAACAACCCTACAGACACACATATTATTTTCAACAGTGCAAGAAGAGAAATACTGATCTCAGTAGGGGGGGGGGCAGTGTTCCTAGCGCTTCCCTGCCGCAGCCGCCACTGCCAATACCTACTAATATTAGCAGGTTGTACTAGTAGGTATTGATTTAACTCTGCATAAAGAACACTGTATTGGGATAGACTAAGGAAGTATAATTATTTTTCTAAGGCATTGGTTTGTATGCATCTCCTGTGGGTGAGACGGAGCCGAAGTGAGTGTGGCATAGTAGTTCACATTCTGCTCCACAGCGTGCGCTAATAGCAATATCTTTATCGAGCAGATTCTTTCGCCCAGGATGACCCCGATGCCCTAGTATTTCGTACGCCTTTCCTTGTGTTTCGCTCATGGGGGTAAGGTGAACTCGGGAAGCTGTGACCTCTTGAGATTACTGTGGGCGCTCAGGCTTTCAGACTGAGTATGTTTATTTACTCTTAATATTTTTAGTTTGTTTTCAGTTTAATATTCATTATAAATTAATACACATAGCCACTGAATAAAATTTATTTTTTGCCCACGAATTTTATTTTAGAGCGTACTCCATCACTCTTAAAACTTCTCATCGAGGTTAAAAACATGTATAGTTTTTGATCGATGCTTTATTAACATCGATGTTTTAATTTTGAAGATCCATAATGGGTAACACCGATGTTTTGTTGTTGATGTCGCATCACTAACTGGCGCCACTAATATAATCCGTACCGGCAGCCACTGATAGAAGGTATAATAAATTCTCATAAAATAATTTGTCAATGTACATAATTGTGAATTATATTGAAAACAATTAAGAATATTTCTTCTGTTAACTAATTACTTTTTTTTATTTTTGAGGGTGTATGTGTATTTTTCTATTTTTGTATTTACTTTTTTGGTTTTTATGCTTTAAATTTGTGTGCGATTAATATTTAAAATATCAAAAATGGTTTGTTTAAATAATTTGTGCAATATCTCTATTCAGTATTTGAGTAAAACTCTTGAGTGTGCGTGTGCGCGATTCCGCGGTTCCGTCACTCGCAGCTAGACCACTTCCCGCGCACCAAACGACATGTATCAAGTGTCTTTCAGTATAGACCTTCTGGTTGACAAAGATACCATCTACAAATTGCTCACGCATTCCCAGAACATTCTTCAGAGGTCCTGTAGTAATTTTGAAATTTTGATATAATTGTTCAATAAGAGAATTTCACCTTGATTCGTTCCAGCTACCACTCCGTTTATCCACGTAAATGGCAATAATCAATTTCTTATTCATACATTTACGTATAAACTGACAAGGATCATCAGAGGTAGCCTTCAGTCCTTGATTATCCATGAAGCTGACAAAGCGATGATTCCAACAGCGTGGGGCTTTCTTGATACACGAGCTTCCTACTCGTCCCCAGCGCTGAATAGCACGGCCCGTTGAAATAGTTAGGTTCAACTCGGAACAGCACGTACCAATTTACAATGCTGTCAACAATCACATCGTATGTTCAAAACAATCTTTGTATTTCTCGTGGCATGCTTTGGGGCGTTAAGTTCATGCCCACAGTTGGTACGCCCTTTTAAGCCTTGACGTGACTTGAGCCCTCCTCTCCCCGCTCCCCCCGCTGCTGAATATCAAGAAAACTTGCGCGTGTAGTACTCATAACATTACATTTAAGCAAAAGTGTGGACTGCGTGTGAATCAGTATGAATTGCTAATGTCGTGTATAGAATTACATGAGAACAGTGTTTTTTGTGCGAACAGAACATATTCATAGCCGAGCGACTTTGATACAGAGTACTTGTAATAAATTGTAAAAACCTTGCAAGTTCGGGTTACATGAAGTTACCGTGCACTTCTACATTGAAATTGCTTTCGACAAAATTAAACACCCCGAAACTACAGAAAAATCCAGAGTGTGCGTTGTAGTACATAGGACAGAAATTCAGGTTGTCGAATGAAAAGAACAAGAGTGGTACACTTAATAGGTGAAATATTCTTGAAGTCGCAAATATTCTTTGGACTATAAAGGAGAAAGTATAGTCAGAACTGCCATTAATGAAGAAGAAACTCCGTCAACAGCTTGTGGGTTCATGGAAACTAGTATGATTTCATCATATAAAGATGTAGTTAATAAATATTCGGTCGGAAAATTGATATACGAGTTGCTAAACCATTATATCAAAACCATAATTGTAAGGCTTGAAAACATTGGTTTTGAAGTGATTGCAATGATTTCTGACAACAGTCATATGAACCCAAAAACCGGTGTCATTGTTTTATCCATGCGGATTCCACAGAAAATTATGTTTTTCTTTTGACAGTATGTACTTCGTGAAGTGCTTAAAAACACTTTAACTAGTAATGTACTTCAGCTTATTCGTCAACTTATTCGCTATTTCAATAAGATTTTTTCACGCAGTTTCCCTAATCCATTGAGCCAATGCTGAGATGGCCTCATGTTGGCGGCCTGCTGAACATCGATGTATCTTGACTATGCGCTCTTTTTCTAGAACTCTTCTTTTGATAGTTGTGATAGTAATAGGGGCGGGGTGGGAGTTTTCATTTTATTAACAATGAAATAAAATGAAATATGTAGATCGTTTACAGTTGGAAGTTAGTGTTCTGTAATTCGGGAGCGAAAATGTAGTTTTCAAATATTAGTAACCTCGCTTTGATGATACAGTTATTGATCATTGAACTATAACTTCGATAATAAGAGTGGCTTGGAGCTCAGTAATACGTGCTCTAATTATATGATCTTCTGCCTATGCCATGTACATTTTTTGTTTTGTATCGAAAGTGAATACAATCAAATCTAGTGATTGTACTGGGAGCTGCATCTCAACCGCAGTGAAGACGTCCATAGATACAGGAAGGTGTGAGGGCGAAAATGGAAAATCTGTTTATTGTAGACTGATTGCACATTACGATTTCTGCTTTTCAGGGTCTCGGGTCCCTTCTTGAAGGCTTACACATCCTTACTGAATCGATCAATCGAATCGAATGCCGACCATCTTCAGCGGCATCCATCATCCAGAGAAACTCGAAGCGACGCAAGACTGAAGTCACTGCTCAGCAGAGGACACTAGGGGTAAAATGCGCTATGCACCCTTCTCTTAAGAACTGATGAACTCGGTAAAACCTAGAAATTGTAATGTGTAACTGGTGAGTGCGATTATATTTGTTCACAACGTATCAAAGCAGTTTTTCGTCAACAAAGCTCCTCATCCTACGACTACCAACCGTGCACGTACTCGTATATTGGTTGGTGGCGTAAGAGAATGGTACAAAAAGTGAACAAACGGCTGTTCCATTATATAATTTTAAAACAATTAAAACAAAATAGTCCTCTATGATGACCCTTGGGCTTCGTACAAGCTTCCCGTCTTGTGTGATCCCGGATTCGATTCCAGTCGAGGCAAAAATAGAGTTGTAGTTTTCCTTTGAAATCGTCTCAGTTTTTGTAGCTGCGACGAAGAAAAACTCAGGCAGGCGTAGTTAGTTGCGGTGAAGAGATTGCGTCGTGTTTGCTAATGTCTCTCTTACCCTCCAAACGTGGGAATTAAACTAGACCCAGGTATGGAGGACACCGTTTGCTAGTCGACAGTCTTACAATCGACCAAAAATGCCAAATACATACATTAAAACATTTCTATTTATTTTTTTAAAAACGAAAAATCAATTAAAATATGGTGGATCTGAGGATGTTGCAAGCTATTCCATTTCCATATGTACATTGCTTGAGGGATTGAAGTATCGAATCATTCATAATTGAGATTGAGCAGCCTTTCCCGCGATTCCCATCTATTATACTACTTATCAATTAAATAATACATTTTTTAAAAATCGTCTGTCTGTTCATCTGCCGTCGTCCATTTTGCCTCTCTGTCCGTCGGCCATTCGTTAGTCCGTCCGTCTCCCCCCTCCCAAACCCATGCGTCCCTTCATAAATAACACAAGTGCCTAAACCGTTAATAAGACTTACCTCAAAATTGATATTCCTCTAGGGATCTGGTGGATGTCGTTGCCCCTCGAATTTCGGAGGGATGTTTTCAGTTTTGGGCGCACATGAGAACCAAGTACATTTTCGAAATCTTCTCAAAAATGGCTCAAAATATTTACATTTCTTGTTTATTTGCATACACGCCTAGTTTAAAGTTACCATTGCTAGTATATCGAAGTCGATCGTAATTCTATTGTAACCGAAATACAAGGATTCTGGTCATCTGATACCGAAAACATGCATTTTTGTAACAAAAACCTTCGTCCGTTTGCCTGACCGTGTCTCAGACCGCCTGTGCGCTTCAGTCTGTTCCTCAGGATTCGTCTATCAGTCTGTCCGTCGATCGCACCGTCGACCGACCATCTGTCCGTCCGTGTGTTCGACCGAACCGTGTGTTCCTCCGGTCGTGTGCGTACGGCCGTGTCTCTGTCCGTCTGGTTTTCTGACCGTCCGTTGCTCCATCTGTCCGTTTGTCTAAACCATAAATAGTATATTTTCAAAATGAATTTCCCCGATCGATGTGGTTTGATTCGAGCCCTGCGAACTTAAAATACATCTTTAAACTTTTGGGGTAATTCACTTGAAGCCCTTTGGACATTTTCACAAGATTCTCAAAAATGACTTTAAAGTTGTTCATCACATTTTGCTAAAGTAAAGTGAAGTCCATTTCAAAAGATGACACAATAGCGATTTTCACTGTTACCTGTTATTGTTTAAAAATTCGAATGTATTTGTATTAAAAGCACTTTATTAAATGTAGATACTTTTTCTCAATAAAATATTTTCTACAAATCTGTAATGTTAAGTACATTTTAAGATGGCAGTAGTTTTGCGAATTAATTTAGTGTAATACGGGAATTTTTTAAAAGATTTTCTCAAAAACGACTTAATTTTTTTTCCTTAATCTTTTTGAACGGATAGGGGAATTACACATCAACGCCATTTTGATATAACTTTTTGATTGTTCGAAAATTACATAATTGTCAATATTTTATCCACTTTGGCTAGGTAAAGTTAAGCTGCATGACATTATATTCAGTTATATAATGAAGTACTTTACCGCGCCTTGGTTTGAGAAAATGTGTTCCATTTTGTAACAACAATTTTCTTTAGATGTTTGCTCACAGAAAGCAAAGTATGCTTATGGAAATGGCGCTGTTTCGAATTTCAGTGAAACCTTTGAAATGCCGAAAATTGAAAAATGATTACATAATTGAAGATAAATATTTTTTCTTTCTTGTATAAGCTGAGTTTTACTGACCATTATTCAGTATTGATATGTGCCCTCAGTAAACATTACAAATAACGCTAAAAATAATTTATTTACATCATAATTGTGAATCGAGTTCGTCTCATGACTTACTGTGTACATTCCTCAAAGTAGTTTTGAAACACATTGTGATATAAATGTCTCAGTAGATGTTTTTTAGAACAAGGTTTACATTTAAACTGCAATATAATCCGTTCTTTCTAGAAACACCAGGAACGCTTCTGTGTGGAAGATGTCATGGACGTATTGTGTGAGCGACATTCCGATGAAAGACTGGGTGTTCTTTCGCCGTTTGCATGCAGTCGCAGTCGATCACCAAGTCTACTTGTTCGACTACAACAAATCCCGCGACGAGGACACCATAAAGGTCCTCGTCTTCAATCCGAGGACGCACGTGATCAGAGTCGTCCAACCCGACGGCCGTAGAGAGGAAAGCATCAACGAAATTCTCGCTTCCAAGGGCGAACTGGTGCTCATCCACTTCGCAGCAACCTTCAAGGAGAAGGTTTACGTGTGCGTCGGAGGGCGCGCGACCGCGAGCGCAGGGGAGCTGTTGGTGTTCGACACGCGGCGTGCGCGGTGGGGCTGCGTGGCGACGAGCGGGGACGTGCCCTCGAGCGCCATGCGGTGGCGGGTGGGCGCGTGCGAGCAGGACGGACACTTGTACGCGTGGTCTATCAACTCCACGGCTCCCGCCAGCGAGGAAACGCACCTTTGGGCCTTGGAAATAAGCAGCCTTCGGTGGAAGATTGTGGCGACCGCGGGATGGGATGAGAGCTATTCCCCACGATGCGTCGTTCCTTATAAGAATCGTGTTTATGTTCTGCTGGAAAGACTGTCAATTCCTTTGGAATATTCTGAGGACGAAATCATGTACTTCGATTTGGACACCAAGACTTGGGAGAGGCCGCAACCGTCTGGTGCAGCTCCATTGTCACTTCAGCTGTGGATCCCTTTCTTTTTCCAAGATCACCTGTATGTGTTTCTTAAGGAAAAACGAATTAGCGACTTAGTCCTCCGTAAAATATATGACAATGTAAATTTCAACGAGCTCGTTTTGAGATACTCCTTTGCGGACAATAAATGGGAGCAAGTGTGTTTCAGAGGAATAACGCCCCCTGCGCCCTTGCATTTGGCTTGCGTTGTTGATAATGTGGGTGTTTTCTTTTCCCTGAATCAGAAAAAAACCTATGTTCTTGACTTTTTCCCTAGTTTGCGCAGTCTTTGTTTTCAAGCTGTTAGCAAATATCGTCTAGGCTCAACCTTTCTTCCAGCAGTTTTGAAAAGGGAATTATCAATGTACAATTACAGTTCTAATGACTTCAAATAGTTTGAAATAGAATTGGAGACCTCTAATTCTTATAACCCTGAAGTAATGTGTCTTTGTCGTTGTTAATATCTAGTTTGCGATGTATACACTCTTGTTTGTTTCAATACCTTCGTAGTTTCATTTTTAAGTTCGAAGTTACACACAAATGTACGAAATATATTTAATAAAATGATTACATCTACTAATTTCTGTTTTAAAATATTAGTGCAGTAGAAACAGTATGGTGGTATAGTTGGGACCTGTGTGATGCCAAATTTAAATATATTGAAAAAAACATAAAGCCTACTGTTCATGTAGTTCGGACAAAGAACAAGTTTCATGTAGATGGGAACACAAAATTAGGGCATCTTTACTCATTTGACTGCCATTTACAGCTTGATTTAACGGGTCTCCTTCTTTGTTTTCCTGAGGTCTCTTTTTACTTTCCCCATATACATACGTATATGCGGAGTATAGAGATAAAACTTGACAAGAATTTTTGTATAGTCATACAGAAATGTATTACATTACACTTATTCAATCGTTTGAAGAATTCAATCTTTATAAATGTAGTATTGAGATAAATATTTGTGATTTTTCGTATAACAAAGTGACTGACTGAAAAACTTTTTTATTAAAATTTAATGAAAACGCACTTTCTGAATTTTTTTAAAAATGTTTATTTTATTTATTCATTATGTATTAGAATATTACCCGTGACAGGCCAGCTTGATTCCATTCCTTACTCTTCCTTCTCCTATCCTCACCCCTTACCCACACGTATGCATGAATGCATTACACTACCACTCAACTGGGAGACCGTCAGGAGCTTAGAGCTTGTCCGGCTGAGGCGCTGGAGGGAGAAACCTGGTTGGGGGAAACCCCGCTACCCCACGGGAAAGTCGGAGCCGGATATCACTACTCAGCGGGGGAAGATCACCGCCATCTCACAAAGAAAATCATGCACTACACTTACGGGGCTAATAACGTAAGCGGTTGATGCGCCCGGAATCACCAGTCAATGAGAAAACTGTTTACGTAGTAGTTCATTGTATCTGTCATAATATTAACATGAAATCAGAATTTAATGTAAAAAAAATCAAGTAACACACATAATCTGTAGAATACTCATATAAAATGAACTAGTTGTGCTTCAACAGCTCGCATTTTCTCGCGATATTGTTCATGGTTATATAATATTGTAATACGAAAATTTTTGTTTGACAATTCAACATGCATATTTTTTAAAATTCAACGTTTAACGAAATCAGCTCTTCTGCAATTGAATTCTGTGTATTCACTACGCGCAATGCGTTATTTCAGCCGAGAATAAAATTTTAGTTTATGATTAATGTGACCAACGGCTGACATCATTAAGCTTCTGATAGTGCAATTTAAATAGAGTTATGATTACATATATGAAACGTATGATTTCATTTCACCTTTCCTTATAATTATCCACCAGACAATACAAAAAGTTTAAAGTAAGAGAAGATACCCTTACTGAATTAATGAAATATTGTACACACCTTTTCCGCTTCTTTCAATTGCATGTGGAGCCCGCAGGAGATGTTTTAGGCCCTTTCTTTTCCTACTACACGTTAAAGACGTGTTCTCTACGATTAAACGGGAAATTCACAGTTTCATTGCGGATGTACGAATTGCTCTCGAATGTTGACTGATTGAAAAAAAAAAAAAATGGACTTATTCTTGAAGTTGTTTTTGTATGAACATTGTTTTAATAAAATAAATGGCAATGCTAAGGTGCATTCTATGCATATTAAAATCCGGAAAATTGCTTTAAAAGTAGCAAAATATTGCAGCTTTAAAAAACTAGGGTGCTACAGAATAGCCAAGACTTTCCCGTATTGGCTTTCTATTCTCCTTTGTTTCGCGCTAGGTATCGGATTGCCACCATTACTCTTATCACTACCTTCTTCCACCGACCAAGTACATATATTTTTTTGTTAATTTATTCAGTTCCTTAGCATAGAAACAGAAGACATTTATTTAATATTAAAGAACAGTTTAAAACTACGTTGTTAATTGCAATTTGCCTTTCAAATCTTGCAACTAGTTTTGACGAAAATTTTGGAGTGTTCGATAAACTTTATTTGAGTTTCTGAGAACATTGTACATTTACAATACATAACAATAGTGTTGAATTAAAATTAAATATTAACGTCTTGCAAATCTTCAAATTACATTTGTGTAATTTTTTGAAAACAAAAACGAATAGAATTTGTCAATATTAGAGCGCTGAATTAGACACTATGTTCGTTCTCGTTTTTGGACGAAATGGCGTTGAGCGTTTGGAAATGCGGAATTTTGAACTAGTTTTACAGAAGAGGCTGCGTTTCAGAAACCTTATCTACATTAGTCTAGAGCACATTGTACTCGTAATTTCAAAAATGCGCACCAAATTACTCCTGATATAAATGTTAACTTTTTGAATACGTCACGATGTTAACACTCGACCATTTCCAGGGCGTTTGTATCTTATTGCATTTTGGTGTCTGATGTTCTTCGAAATTATTTGCCAAATAAAGTTTTCGAAAACAAAAATTCCTGTGAAAAGTGCATTATTTTGCATTTATAGTAGAGCTTAAAAAGTGTTTCTTATAAAAACGCTCCAAGTTCTTCAACGAAAATTTGGGAGAATGCTGAACAATTTAGTCGCTAGCGGTGTTCAGAGACTATTTGCCGTCAACCGATTTTTCGGTATCAAGGATCCACAAAACAATTTTTTCTACATTTGGTAACTGGATTTATCATTTCTTTGTCAGGGCCCTATAATAAGAGTTTTTCTTCCAAAAATTCGCCTTTTTTTTGCGCAGTATTACATAACTTTTCTCACTATCGCGGTAGTAGTAGCAAGAATGTAAAAATAAATACTTCATTAATAAAAACTCTCTCCGCTTGTTAACTCAACGAAACAATGAACACACGTTCTACCCGAATTGCATTTGAGTGGAAATCGGAGTCTTCCGTGCGGGCAGGCAGCATATAAATTCCCTGACCTACGCCAACCAACATACGTCAAGTATGGATACATCACGCTAATGCTCTACGCGCTCACTTCAGGGGCTTTTTTTCAGAATACGGTGCGAAGTAAGGCAGCACCGGGCGTGCCTACCCGGAGAGTCGCAAGCGAGCGTATGTCTCTATGGGAAGGGACGGGAACAATTTGAATGGCACACGTGCTGTAAGAAAACGCGTAAATCGAAAATATGGATCATGGCACAATAATGTAATGCTCAATATGCATTAAAAGATACATAAAACTTATTATGGAATTCTAATTTTTATCTTAAAACATGTTGATCAAGGTAGACAATGCTTTCTTTGCCTACCCCAAGCAGCCACATCTTCATTTAATTGTAGATCTTTACTTAATGCTACCATTTGTTATAAATATGAGTAATGGTTGACAAATAAAACAGGAAGAAAAGTTTCGGTATGCTGAGCATTCTCACTAGTTATTTTCCTGGGTACAAGTAACGTTCTAACAAGTATGTTGTAGAGGGAAAGTTACGTAATGCTGTGGCAAATCGATTTCGTGATTTCAACGGAAGTACAAAAGTTCCCTGCTACCGAAATATTTTTTTTGTCAAAACGTTTGACCGTCCGTTCATCTGTTGTCCGTCCGTGAATAACACTTGCGCCTAAATTATGCGTAGGATTTGTTCTAAATTAAATACTCCCTAGACAATCTGGCCCCATCAAATCTCTGGGAGTTTGAATATATATTCATTTTTGGGAGTACTTCACATGAAACCAGTGGGATATTTTGAAAATTTCTCAACAAAGTTCCCAATTGTTTCTTTAAATTTCTTGTAAGAATGGAGTGAAATACACTTAGAAAGGTGGCATAGGTCCGATTTTCAACTTTAACTCTACATTTTCGAAAATTCGAAAAGTTTGAAATTTTTCCAGAGACAAGTAAAATTTGTTCTCCATAGTTAGTACTTTTATGTAAGTTTTGCACAGTTTTTTTAAAATTTTAGTACTTTTGTCCCGATTTTGAGTGAAAAATGTTAAAAATATAAAAACAAGAATTTCTCAAAAACTGATTCAATTTTTTTGTTTTAACTTTTGATAGGAATAGTGATATATGTACTGTAACAGATGACATAAACCCCTTTTTGTTGTATTCGCTTGTTTTTTATTACAGAACAATACTTATTCTATGATGTACTCTATGCTATTGTTTACATTACGAAAAATACTTCGTACTCGTACAATACTTTCTCTATGCTGCGAAAGCAGTAGGCGAGAAAGTACACATTTTTGCAGTATTGCGAAGTGGTCCTTGGTGTAATAGAGAGACTTCATTTACACCAAACAAGCACATCATAATACATTATTTCTCCACGCTTCGTTTATGCATTCCATCCTCCCAAAGAAATGTATTTATTTATTTACGTCAAAAGCAGTTAAAAACTGTGTCATGCTATCAGTGTAC